TAATTATTTTGGTAACCCTGTAATTAGTTTTCTAATTTATGAAACCAGAGGACGTTTTTTGGCGTGGCCATTTCATTATAATGTTCCACCAAACGTATTTCAAAGCCCGTTTTGCTTTTCTGGACACATCTATGAGATTAACAGTAAAAACAGTTCTCGCAAATTCCTGCTTTTTATCATTTTGTCAGAAAAAGTTTTATATCACGTCAAAGAGTATCAAACAAGCAATAAGATGACGTGAGATCGTTTCTTCTCAAAATTTATTTTGGTCTAGAAAAAAATATTTTATTTGAAAAAAAATCACCCAAATAAGACTAACCTTCTCCTAAACAATTTAAACGTGGATACTTGAATGAAATACCTGGTAAAACTTTTGAAAAAAATCTTGTTGGGGCTGCAAGTTGTTTCATTAGGTTCAACTAAAGTAGTTACAACCATAATATTGAGGGGTAAAATTTTTTGAAATGTGTTGGTCTTAAACCACAGTGCCCTATGATGCTTTTGGACAGTTTGACTTTTATACATGTTGGGGTTACGTGTCCCTAGCACTTGGCGATGTTTGTTGTGCTCAGCGATCTGGACTGGCCAGCCGGCTGGACACTGGGGGTCAGCGTACCCAGAGAGCTAGAAAGGGTACTTTTCCATCGAGGGATGCATAAAAACTCTCAATTTAGAGCAGGTGTTTTTAAACACCTGGTGTGTTAAATACTTGTACCGAGGATGGTTCCAAACTCCTGGAGATTTTGATGACCATCACAAATGCTCACTGCTGCCTCAAATTTCACCTTATTGCAAACTGAGGACTTCCTCGATTTACAATCCGATCTCGCTTTGTGGCTGTGTTAATACATAGAAGAGCTCCATCCGCACCTTTCACAAGTACACCATCACACACACATTTTAGAAAGACATGTAAAAAGGAAAACTATAAAACATGCAACTACTAATTGAGAATAGTCAGGTGTGTAGAGGCCAAAAAGGCATCATAAGTGTATCAGCCAATGAAAATTTCAGCCAGAAAAGGAAAAATTAAACGAAAAAACAATTTAATTATGTTAACCACTTCGTGCCAGGGCAATTTTCCATGTTGATAATGCTGGGCCAGCATGACTATCATTTTTTCCCTTTTCAAAATCCTTTAAAAATTCATCATTTCATTTAACGGTCGTTTATAGCCGCACGAAATAATCTTCAGGCACTACTCTAAGTTGATATGTGACCTTCATTGACACCCGAGTATTTCAGCCAGGCCTGCTGCCTTGTAAACAGAGCCCAGATTGTGCGGCGTTCTATAAATGTCTTTTGTTCATGAACCTGGCTCAGTGCACTGCTGACCTCTTTTCAATAGGGGCCAGATTAGCGTGCAGTGGTGCTGCGTGGCTCATCGCTGCAGTGGTGGAGCGCTTTTGTCCCCGGTGGTAGTCCGCTCGCTCTCAATGCCCCAAACCCAGGTATAGGGTTTCAAAACAAGGCTGGATTATGACCACTTTTGAGAGTGAAAAATGCCGGTAATGCCCAGCAGCCTGGTCTTTTGTTCGGAGTACGATCTTTTGTTACAGGGCCCTGTTTCCTTTGTCCGAGTTCAGAGACCCCGGCCACCCATATAAACCATACGTCTCCGATCCCGGAGTCCCTGGCAGGAAATGGTTAATATATTACACATTCAACTTTACACCATGAGTAAAACATGAAGATGTAAGAGAAGATGGTGGCTCAGTAAAGATGATTTGTTTTTATTGTCTTTGTTATTTGTTGTGATAAGTCCATGCTTGCCGAATTCTCACGTAATCTCTGTCACCCACCGGTAATTATCTGTGGCTGCCTCGTTTACAACTTGGATTTCACCGTGCCACAGAATATGGTAAAATCTACTTGCGGCCATGAGTTGCCTTCGACACAGTCACTGATGTCTCCAAGCCCTACCAAAGGAGGATGCTAAAGCAAACATCCCAAACTGTTGCACTAATGGCCAACAGGTCTTCACTAATCCGGCAGATATTGCTAATTCCTTCAATTCCTATTTTAGCAGTGTTGGTCCTTCGCTTGCAAGCAAAATACATGTAGGTCCTACTGACAAAAATTTTTGTGATTGTCTTCATACTTCCAACTCTGCTAGTTCCTTCCTTCCCACAAATCCTACTGAAATCATTGACACAGTGAAAAACTTTCAAAAGTGGTACCACCTGTGGTTTCGATGACATTTATGTTTCTGTAGTAAAATATGTTCCATTCATATCCCGTCCTCTCACTCACATCTTCAATCTTTTTCTTCAAACTTGTTCTTTTCCAGTTAAGATTGCCAGGGTCATACCCATATTTTTATATTTTATATTGACCTATTTCTGTTCTTCACTGTTCTTCACTTGTTTACAATTGATTGTCTGCTCTTCTCTCCGAGTTTAATATCCCCTTGAACATCAGTTTGGTTTCCACCCAAAACGCTACCGACAAGGCTCTTATTCAATTGACTGATCTCATTTCTAACTCTCTATCCAATAAACTTTTTACGGCGGGAATTTCATTGATCTTTCAAAATCTTCGATACATTAGATCACAACATTCTTCTCTCTATACTAGAATTCTGTGGTGTGAGAGGACAGGCTCTTGGGTGGTTTCGTGACTATCTTTCCAACAAGTCTCAGTTTACTGTTCTTGCCCGTGCATCTTCTTGACTGAGAGTAGTTATATGTACATGTAGAATTCCCCAGGGTTCATTTCTTGGGCCTCTTCTCTTCCTAATTTAACAACCTGCACTTTTATTCTCCACTGATACCATTTCTTTTATTTGCATATGATACTACAGTAATGTATTATAATATCAGGCAGCATTCCCTCGGCCGAACTTTGAATATCAAACTTGCAAAAGTCTCATCATGGTTCCAAGCTAATAGACTTTCTGTAAACTCTGATGAAACCAAATGTATGTTCTTTACCAAGTCAAAACCAAGGACTATTACTCCTTCCATTTACATCAGCAATTCACCCATTTCCCAGGTACATTCTGTAAAATTCTTAGGAGTTGAAGGATCAGTTGAACTGGAACGACCACATTTCTGTGATTGGTAAGATCACTTCATGGAATACAGGTGTCATTTCTAAGCTCCGTTTTTTCCTCCTTCCCCTGCCGCTCTGTTCACCCTTTACAATTCCCTAATCCTTCCTTACTACAACTATTATAACACTCAAGCTACAATCAACTCCACTCACTAATAACCATTCAGAAAAAAGCTATTCCAATTTGCACTCAATCACTTCCACAGGCACACCCAGCCCCTCTTTTTGCACAACTCAAGACACGTACACTCACTGATATTAGCAAACTTCAAACCAGAATTTTTATGTTCAAATACACAAATAATCTTCTCCCAAATGCCTTTTCTTCTTTCTTCACCCCTGTCTACAGTGTCCATGACTATCCCACACTGTCTGGCAATAATCTGTACCTTCCATGCACGCGTACACCCTATTCGTCTAATACTTAAAGATTTCAGGGGCCACAACTTAGGAACGGTATCAGCACGACCTTGAAAACATAATCGTCTGTAGGCCGTTTCAGAACGTTACACAAAAATGATCTCTTCTCTAGTTATTTAGCATAATTTTCCTCACAATTTCATAGTTCGTATATATAGCTCGTTTATTTTCCGTTCTATTGTTCGTATTATAGCCTTGTATAAATTACTTATATCTTTTTCGTCTGTCATGTTTTTGTTTCTTGTCTGTTGTTAGTCCTTTGATCTATCGTTTGGTTGCCTGTTTGTTTTCAAGACATTCAGGACAAGCCCTCAGTAGTGCAAATGTCATCTTAGTTACTATTGTTTGTATTATTTTCTTTATCCTTCATTAATTGTAAACATGCATACATGTACAACTTGAATGCTTATATATGCACTATCAGAATAATGTTAATTGAATTGAAGTCTTGAATTTACCCTGTCACTTAATGCCAAAATGAAGACAAGGGACCATTCAATTGAGTTTATGCACATTTTAAAACAAGCGAACAAAAATGTTTGTAAGAAGAAAAAATGTTGACAATAACAATAGGGTTTTGGCTCAGGTCCAGACTCTAAAAAAATAAGGAAAACAAAAGCTTTCATTGGTTCTGAAGTTGAATTCACAAAGAACATATCAACTATGTAACAAAAAGGTGTCTTATATGGCATCAGTCAAATGAGAGAATCAAAATTTCAAAAGGGGTGCACTCAAATGATTTCCTGCTGTTTGTGGACATACTTTGGGTATAAACTTGGATCAGTAAGGTATTAATCATTTGTCAGGATTTTTTCAGAGGAACATATACCTTGGTCTTGTTGGTTTGTCCTGGTTAAGCTGTGTGAGTGTAAAGAAAATTAATTTCTTCTGAAACCATGGTATCATTTCCTTCCTTACTAGATTTGAAATTGTATTATTTTCTAACATGATACTTGTAGCTTTATTTTCATTTTGGTTTTTGTTTCGTTTTTGTTTGTCTTGTTTGGGGTTTTGTTGATTTCATTTGAGGCCCATGCGGCAATATTTAGAAAACAGATTTGAAAAAGAAATATCAACTCGGGTTTATTTGTTGTCACCAGCTTGAACCATACGTGTAGGTTTGTGTAAGCAAGCACTCTATTGTCCAAAAGTATGCTCCCTAACAAAGGGAAAATAACCACCTTCCCGAAAAAGAATAATTTAGGTTTCATGATTTCATTATAGACAATAATTCTTATGTTTTCTCATGTTTGTTATATTTTCTGATTTCGTTTGTTTACTGTTAGTTTCAGTTGTTCCACGAACACTTTATGATTGACACTGTTTGTGGTGTTTATAGTATTATTTGAACATTTTTTCCAATAGTGTTCTATTTTTACCGCTCGTCAACCACACAGGTTTAAATAATTCAATGTACATTTGACTTTCTCAGATATCGATGTAGCAATATTCTCACACTCCCACCAGCAACAGGTGTACACCTCGAAAATATCACCATTTTGTCCCATATGTATTGTTACTTTCAGGTATTGCCAAGTTCAGTGTTCCCAAACCAGTACAGGGGAATGAGAAGAATAACACAGATGTTGAGGAATCTTTGAAACGTCTGAAGAGTAATGATGCCACTCTTAAGACACTGAATCTTAACAACATTGTTGTAAGTTTTTTTCATTTCTTTGTTCAGTTGGTCAGTTAGTCCGCACTCAATCTCATGTTCCATGAAAGTTTCCCTGAAACATGACAATAAAACTAAGGCCAAAAAAAGTCTCTAGTTTCTGGTCACCGTGCACGTTGCCATAGACCTACGCATCAGCACAATAAAGAATTTTTTTCTTTTGCATAAAATGATTTCCAAAAGCCGCCAAACTTACTTGATCAGCAGGAATTCTGCTACCGCGTAATTTTAACATGTTTGTGATGAGTGGGATTAAGTAATATGTACGGTAAAGGAATCCCCCTTGGCCTCCAAACACATTTCAGTCGGACACTCTGATCAGATGACGTCATTTGTGTATCTTTACACAAAGGCCGTGTCCAAATCAGTTTGCTGCGGCTTGATATTACGCATGATTCTATGGGAACTGGCCATGGATGCTGCCAAATATTCGATGTAATTTCTAGCCACAGCCAATTGATTTGGACTCGGGCCCACGTACGTCTGTGAACCAGACAAACGGAGTGGTCTTGCTTCCTACATAAGTATACAAATTGAAAACGTTTTTGAACAACAAACCATGAGGGGCCAGTTTATTTCAGTGTGGGCCAGGCAGTGGCAGTACATATGCATGAAGTGCATGCAGTGGCTATGGACATGCATCGAGTTATGACAACCATGCATGTAACAACTCATGCATCATTGATTGTCACTTGCCAAGATCATAGGTAGATTAGGAAATTTTATTATCTGAGCTGAATTTTTTCCCCAATATGGTAAATGCAGCTTGTTTCTCATAAGCTAAAACAGAAAACAGTGTGTACTGTATCTCATGAGAATTTTATTTTCATTTTGACTCTATGGAGCTGAACTGTTTTCATTTATTTTTTCATGGGCTATTTGACGTATAACTTGTTTCCTGTAAGCTAAAGCAGAAAACAATGTGCAAAGAATGTCACATACTGCTACCTTATGAGAATTTCATTTAAAACTGGAAACTGGAACTGAACATTTCTTTTTCACATATGAGTTTTCCATGGTTGTGCTTCTGTATTTTAACCAGTTGCTGCTGGTGGCAGTTATCGATGTTGATGATGCTGGGGTGGGATAGTTATCATTCTTTTCTGTTTTCAAAATTCTTTAAAATTCCTATCTTCATTTACTGGACACTTACACCAACGCAAAGGATTGTCTGGTGGCCACTCTAGGCTACCAGACAAAATCTATTGACACCTGAGTATTTCAGCCAGGCCTGCAGCCTTGAAAAAGAGCCCAGATTGTGTGGTGTTATATAACTTTCTTTTGTTTATGAACCTGGCACTGTGTCCTGCTGACCTCTTTTCAATAGGGGCAGATTAGCATGCAGCGGTGCTGTGTGGCTCATCGCTGCGGTGGTGGAGCGCTTTTGTCCCCGGTGGTAATCCAATCGCTCTAAATGCCCCAAACCGTGGTATACTGTTTCAAAACAAGGCTGGATTATCTCCACTTTTGACAGTGAAAAAATGTTGGTAATGCCCAGCAGCCTGGTCGTTTGTTCCGAGTACAGTCTTTTGTTACAAGGCCCAATTTCCTTTGTCTGATTTCGGAGACCCCGGCCACCCATATAAAGCATACGTGTCCAGATCCAGAATCCCCAGCAGGAAGTGGTTAACAAGCTCAATCTTGCAAAGAATAGAAGCCTCTTTTTTGAGTAAGATGAATGAAACTATTGCCTCTCCTCATATTTTATCGTTATTTTATTAATTCAAAGTTGTTAATTCAGATTTCTCTAAGTAACAAGGCCATGCACTCTAAAGTATATGTGCATATACATCACTTCTTAAGACAAAAAAAAAGAAGGGGGAAAAAAGTCATGTCAACGCAACACTTTTGGACCAAGCCCATGACCAGAAACTGGAGTCTTTTTTTGGGGGGGGGGCTTTAATGGCAGAAAGAGCTCCTTGGTTCTGAAAATTCATGGAAACTTAAAGCAGGCTTCTTAAACTTGCCTTCAAAGGCACTGTTTGGTCCTTTCGGACTTCAACGTATGTGGCTTCAATAAAATGTTTTTTAAAGTAAACTCTGTGGACTTCTGTTTATGAAATAATTATGATCAAAAAACACCTTTTGAACAGCGCGTTTCTAGCCAAATCGAGAAACGGTTGAATGATATCATAATTATATGCAATGACCCTGTAACATCAGGTTTGGGAGATACCAACTTGTGTACATACGTACATTTACATGACAACAGGCAGCCGTAGTGCACATGCATTGTACCTGTGTATGAGTAGCCCTGCCGCGCCATATTTGTTGCTGTTAAGGACTGGTTTCCTAAGATTATTTGTGTTTAGGTCCATAGTTATAGCATGATATCAAGGTGTGTTTGCTCTGAACATATTGCCACCTCTATGCACGATGACACAATCGTGTGTGGTTGTTGGTTGTACTCAAAACACCAGCAAAAATCCGGGAGTGAGCTTCCTGTCTTTTCCAAAGGCAGCCTCAACATGACGAGAGTGGATTCGCTTCGTCAAGAACACACATTCTGTCTTTGTTTTGACAGAATGGTCAAATGTATGCTCAGAACACTTTACGGCTGATTGTTTGGACGGCATGTACTGTTTAAAATGAAGTCTTGGCCTAAAAGCTAACTTCTTCTTAAAACCTGGAGCCATGCCTACAATCAAGGCATCAAATTCAGCCTCTTCAAGTTCCACGTCGACGGCCGCCTGTGCCACACTGTCAAGGTCTTTGGTGACTTCCAATTCCTTGTCAGTCAGAATCAACTAGAACTAACATTACTACTAGGCCTCTTACTAGGCCTACCCAAGCGTTTCAAGAACTGCCAAAGGGCCCGCATTCCAACCAACACCAATCTGGAGGGGCTTTCAAGAAAGGAGAAACTGCTAGGGTAAGTAGAATAGATTTATTTCAGACGCATTAGGCCCCAGCCCCTTTTTGAAAATAATGGCTTTGTGTTTCACCCAAAGCTGTTGGTGTAGGGGCACAGACCAACTCTGGGTGGGGAAGGCAAAGTTATTTCCAATACAAAGTGACTCACAAGGCATGCCTCAAATAGGCCATAAAACATTACCAGGGGGCAGGGTGTTAGGAATTTAGGGTTTTAGAATTTAGGACCATTTCTATTCCATTTTTTGATATTTGATTGGGGTTTTAGGGAGGCAGCAACACCATGGTAACTCTAATTCATCCAAAATAGTAATACATGTATTTTGTCTTGGTCATGTGTCTTGGCGTTACCAAGTGTTACAAGTTATAATACGATGCACAGAAAGTTTGCCTAAAAACCCAAGGGTATACATATTTTTCATCTACTTTGGAAGTGGGGTTTATGCTTAACGTTTACATGTATGGTATTGTTAATAAATTAACTATTCTGAGCCACTGAAGCCATTAGAGGGCCTAGTTCCTGACAGACATCAGAATTCACCAGGCCTTAGAGCTCTTTTTGTAATAATGTATCCGGCACACTTTTTGAAATTGTGACTGGCTTTGCAAAATGGACCTTATGTCTAATTTACCAAAAGCACACTGCTGCCGGGTGAAACTGCTTGTTACACACAAAGGCTTGCACAACTTAGGGGCCATTTTTGCGCAATTGAGTTTGTTCCATATCTAATTTTTAACATAAAGTTATTGAGTTGGTGCCATTTGTTTCCACATTCCCAAAGCAAAACATCTTGGAATTGTTTTTTTAAAGATACTTCAGAAAGCAGAAGACTTTTCCACAGGCAAAGAGGAGCCAGCATGTGCCACAACCTCGGTATGTCAAGGCATCAAAATCAAACTAGAGGGATATTATTGTGGACAATCACAGAGCTGTTTGGAATTTTCTTTTTTTATCTTTTTTGGAAAAAAGGAAAAATATGTTTAAAATTCTCACAGCAATTTCCAGGCGAAGCACTGGTAAAATCAACAAAAGTGCGAAGTGAAAAAACGTGTACAAAACTTATAAATCAAACTGCAACTTTAATCTCATGTCACATGACTCCTGATGATGTCAGCGTGACAATTTTATTTTGACAGCCCCACGAGTTGATGGACTACCTATGCCTCCAATGCAAAAAAACTAAGATGTATGAGTGTACCAGTCTTCAACTTCAGAAAAACGTGCACAAAATCTATGGAGAAAAACTGCACCTTTAAAGTCATGTCACGTGATTTGCGTTTATATTGAAAACAAATTATAAAAATTTTATTTGATATGTGAACACTTTGAGTATATTTGTAATCAAACGAAGACCAAAAAAACCACACTTTTTCTTTCGTTCTCAGAGTAATCCTTAGCCAAAGTTCAGGACTCTTCTCATGAAGATCGATAATATTGCAGAATAGAAAAATGTGTACAAAACTTATGGGGAAAACTGTACTTTTAATCTCATGTCACGTGACCCCTGATGACGCCACTGTGACGATTTTATTTTGACATCCCCACAGGTTGTCCGACTACCTATGCTCCCAATACAAAGTCACTCAGATGTATGAATGCCGCAGTCTTTTGACTTCACAAAATGTGTACAAAACCTATAGAGAAAAACGAAATATCAAAACTCAATAATAAATCACGTGATGACGTCAATATGAAAATTTCTTTCTTAAATTCTCTCTAATTGTTGGAGCAAGAATTTCCACCTAACATACATCAAATCAGGTGGAGAACATTGTGGAAGTCTTGCTGTTGAAAAACGTGTACAAAACCTATGGAGAAAAACGAAATATTCAATAATAAATCACATGATGACGTCATCATGACGAATATTTTCCTAAACCCTCTCTAACTGTTGCGCCAAAAATCATGACCTAACAGATATCAAATCAGGTCGAGAACAGTATGGAAGTCTTTCTGTTGAAAACGTGTACAAAAGCTATGGGGAAAAATATTCAAAATTCAATAATAAATCATTTGATGACGTCATCATGACAATTTTTCCCTAAAACCTCTCTAACTGTTGGGCCAAGAATCATGACCTAACAGATATCAAATCAGGTTGAGAACAGTGTGAAAGTCTGGCTGTTGAAAACGTGTACAAAAGCTATGGGGAAATATTAAAAATTCAATAATTAATCTTTTGATGACGTCATCATGAGGAATTTCTTCTAGGACCATCCTTGGATGGTAGTCTGAAGGTCTGCAAGGTTTGAAGTCAATCAGATTTATAAAACTACCAAAGTTGACCAGTGGAAGAAAAATAGTCTGAAAAAGAAAAAGAAAAAACTTTAACGAAATCAAGAGCTGTTTCGCCAAAATGCCAAAACAGCTACAAAAAATAGAGGGACTTGGTTGTGAACAACCACAGAGTTGTTTTGGAATTTTCTTTATCTTTATCTTTTTGGAAAAACAGATCAAAATACCTGTATACCTGGTAAAATCAACAAAAGTGCGAAGTGAAAAAACATGTACAAAACCTATAAATCAAACTGCAACTTTAATCTCATGTCACATGACTCCTGATGACAGTGACAGTTTTATTTTGAGAGCCCCACAAATTGATGGACTACCTACATGTATGCTCCCAATGCAAAAATACTAAGATGTATGAGTGTACCAGTTTTGACTTCAGAAAAACGTGCACAAAATCTGTGGAGAAAAACTGCCCCTTTAAAGTCATGTCACATGATTTGCATTTACATGTATATTGAAAACAAATTATGAAATTTTATTTGACATTTGGACTCCTGGGTATATTTGTAATCGAACAAAGTGGGGAAAATATGAGTTCTCTTTCATTCTCATAGTAATCTCCTGCCGAAATTCAGGACTACTCTCATTAAGATCGATAATATTGCGTGGTAGAAAAAGCATACAAAGCCCATGGAGAAAATTGCAAGTCTCCTGCGTTCACGTACCCCTGTCCAGCCTACATATGCAAATTTCCCATGTGCCTATTACAATTTGCAGAAAAGATTTGATCATGCATGCTGCCCCCTGACCCACCACATTGCATTGCGGTCCCTCTGCCACGTTCGTGCTTTTCTCAGCACCTATAGTTAATGGATGTGTCTTTTATGACTCCTCGAATTCTAGAGTTCCGTACATTTCGTGCTATTGACTTGATTCCTGTTATGAAATAAAGAGTGTTTTCTTGTTTATTGGTAAGAGTGCTTATTTTCTTATTTTTTTCTTGCATGCTGTTTTTTTTTGTAGTTCTTTTCTGCCCCTTTTTTTCTGTGCATCATATATAGGTTGGGTAGTGACTTCCCGTGATGAGTGATATGTTATATGGGTATGGCTGTTGAAGGGTTGGAGGGCCCTTTGCTAACGATGTGGTGCATGCGTTCGAACAATAACGGCCCAATGCAGTTCGGGTCTGGCCGCAGAGTGGGACTTACTGAGCCGCCCTGCTCCCCTGTGGTGTGGTTTTGCATTTTTAGCAGCCTTGACGAGGAGAGACCTGAGTAGGTTGGGGTTGAGGCACCCGGGCCTGGATCATCACGATCAGGCGGACTAGAGTACTGCAAAACCTGATCAATACCCTCTTTGACTAGAGAGAACTGAAGTACCGCGACTCCTAGATCAAAACAGCCTTTGATCTCTGATGACCTCTACCAGGATTGACTGGGCTGAGGGTGCGGTTCCGTAATAAAGCCCTTGACCCACCACCGAGCCAAACCTGCTAGTCTTCTGCCGTCCTCTTATATGCCAACTCCTGGCGCCATGACCGCTTTGGCCTCCGATGTTTTGCCTTTCTTCTCCTTTTATTGGAGTATATTGCCCGGGCCTGTGAAAAAGACTCTCCGGTCTCTCCAGACTTTGCGGCCCTAGCTTTACGAGGTCTTGATGGAGGACTTAATTCGATCTTTGAACAGTTCAAACTTGTAATTCCATTCTGGCCACTTCTACCCGCAGATCCAATGCGTGGATGCCATGGATATCTTCTATGGGTCCGTCAAGAATAGGCTTATGGGCCTTTCTCTTCTGGGGAACGATCTCTTTGCTGGGAAGTTCACCGAAGTCCTTGAGTCGGAGGTAAAACATATGGAGACTGCTCAGAAAATCTCACTTCGTGAACCTGCACCTCCACACCGTCAGCCTCCACCATTGCTCATGGCTACTCCCTTGAGTTCATGAGTTCCCCGCCATCCGGGATGGTCTTCCGCTCCACTCCTCCTCCATGCGACAAACTCAAGCACCTGGCTCTGGAGGAGAATATTGTAGCGTTGCTACGCAAACGAGCCATCACACCGGTACATCCGAACCAGCTTTCCACTTGCTTCCTTTTGTCCTTTTTCCTCGCACCCAAAAAAGACCTGGGAAAGTACCTCTGCTTCGGGCCCTTCCTTTATGTCGTTCAACATCACCAAGGGTCTTCACCAGGATCGTCAAAACTCTTGCCGCCTACTTACTACAGTGTGACGTCCTTATTTTTCAATATCTAGACGACTGGTTGATCATCAGCCACTGCCCCATCGTCGTCCACTGCCCCGACGAAGCAAGTTCTGCCACATCTCTCACCCTCAATGCCACGACACGCCTAGGGTTCCTCATCAATTACGCCAAGTTGGCCTTCAATCCATCACAACGGTTGACCTACCTGGGGGCAGCTCTTGTTCTTCTCAATGGTGTTGCGACTCCGTCACTGGAATGCATCATCAACCTGCAACAATGCGCTGTTTTGTTCCTGCACTCCAAGGCTCTTCCGGCACTGGCCTAACTCCGCCTTCTCGGATTTATGGCCAGCCTCGTTGACCTCGTTCCTGGGTGTCAACTGTGGATGCGGCCACTTCAACTACATCTCCTGTCTCGGTATAGCCCTTTTCTACCAGATGTTCGCAACCACCTCTGGTGGTGGACCATCAGCGAGCACCTGTCGGCAGGTCGTCCCCTCGTTCTTCCAAAGCCGAACATCATGATGACAATGGATGTGTCCCCATTCGGATGGGGGCCTCCCTTCCTCCGCTTCATGCATCCAGAGTTTGGGACTCTTCCTTCCACAACAAACACATCAACCTGCTGGAACTTCAGGCAGTATTCAACGCCCTTCGTCACTTCCAGCGGCACTTAGTGGGTCTCTCAGTTCGAATCCAGAGCCACAACTGCATAGTGGTAGTGTACATAAACCACCAAGGCAGTACTTGCTCCGCCCCAGCTATGCATCCTTACATGGCAGATCTTCATGTGGGTGATCGATCACGGGATCAATCTCCAGGCCGTTGACATACCGGGAATGTCCAACAATATAGCAGATGCTCTCTCTCGAGTGGACGGAGTGGACTCTACATGCGAGCATGGTCACCCAAATCTTCACAGAGATCGAGCGCTCCTACGTCGATCTCTTCGCATTGGCCGACAATACCCATCTTCCGAACTTTTTGCTCTTGGTTTCCACACCCACAAGCTTGGGAGACAGACACTCTTCAGGTGAATTGGTCTGGCCTTCTGGTGTTGGCCTCAAATATCCGTCATTCCCCAAGTCTTATCCAAGATAGAACAAGAACCATGCCGGATTCTCCTCATCGCCCCATTCTGGTCTCGACAGCCATGGTTCCCGAGACTCGCAAGGCTCCTGGTTCGTCGACCACTAATCCTTCCGCACAGGGAGGATATTCTTCCTCAACCCAGGTGAGGAATCCTCTATCCAGCTCCGAATGATCTTCACTTGACGTGTTGGACCTTGTCCAACGATCGTTCAGAGCGTCAGGCCTTTCTGCAGACGGCACAGAGCCGACGACTCTCCACATGCAAAATTTACAACAGTCGAATACAACATTTTGCTAGATGGTGTGACGACTACAATGTTTCTCCAACCGAAGCTTCTGTAAGCTCAGTTGCGGACTTTTTCATATATCTCTTTCATTCGAGCCTCCAGACTTCTACTATCCGCAACTACCGGTCGGCCCTGGCAGCTGTTCATTTGGGGTTTAACGATGGATCAACAATTTCTGATTATTTTCAATACCTCAGATGTGCTTGGCTTTCATTGAGACGTTGTAGAGGAAGCATACAAGTGTGAAATAACTAACTAGTTTCATGATTTGAGGGCATTTTTAAGTTTGATGATTGATGGTGGTCACCGCTGCTTTATTATCAGATCGAAATACGCTTTCCTGTTAGGCACCCAGGCCAAATGCCCCTAAACCACTGACCCCTAAAATAGTCTCCAAAAGCTATGCCACCACTAGCATCTGTGAAAAGTTTCAATTCTGTGTCCTGCACCCAATACTGATCTGGAATTATCACTTTCCCATTTAAACCCTGAAGGAAAACCTGTCACATGTTTAGGTCTGCCTTTGCACCATTAGACAGCGGGATCATGTGCAAGGCTTCTTGGCTCCTTTTAACAGGTCTATTAAATGATGAAGAAATGCATGACCTGGAGCCACAGCTCAGCAAACAAATGAAAGTGAACCAATGAGGGACTGGAGTGATTTCAATGAGACTTTTCTGGCTTGGAGTGTTGTTGCCAGTATCCCAAAGATATTGGTGAGTTTATCTTCAGGGACCAAAACCATTTGGGTAAGAGAATTTATTTGAAGTCCCAGAAATGTCAAACAAGATGTAGGTACTACTTTCTGTCTTCGGCTAAAGCCCGCCCCCCCAGGTCCCTACACACCCCTCTAAAACAGTTCAGGGATTTTTGCATGATAAATCTATCTTGTAGTTCTGGCCCCCCATGAACAGAAAATTATCTGCATAGTTACAGATGATTTCAGAGCCAGACTGCGCTTTTACCACCTATCCCAAAAAGGTGGGAAGTTCTCAAACCAGGCAGGAGCACAGGAAAGCCCCCATGGGTAAGGCCTTGTCCACAAACTAGCTATGTCCTACCTGAATATCAGCCTAAAGGTGCCTGGCACTGATTTTGGTGTTAGTCCTGGGGGGAGGGGTTCTGAGATCAGGAATCGGCAGTTCTGAAAAGGGGCTCGCCATGTGGCCCATTTGAACCTCTTTAGACCAATTTGCAAGAGCAATGGTGGTATTTTGAGTGATGGACCTAGGGTAAGGGGCATGTGAGTTTATGCGTGGCCCATTGAATCCTAACTTAAAACCTTCTGTAAAACTGCTATGGAGGCTTTTTGCCACCTCCATTTTTGGGTGTGCCTCTATTAGAGAGACAAAAGTACTGGTACATTAAGGGGGTGTGGGCAAGACAACAGAGACATTTGTTCTCCGTAGGGCATGAAACTGATAGTCTGGCACACAAAGTATTAGAATTGACTACTTGATTTGCCTTGTGCTTTGTTGTTAGCTCCCCCCATGTTTTAGCTGAGAAACAGCTGGAACATTTGTGTGTGTATTTGCTTTGAGCATTGGAACATCCTGCGTAGTTGAATGCAAAGCACAGACCACTTCCATGGGAGATGGAGTTGCTGCCCAAAAGGCGAGGTTTTATTTGAGAGAATTGTCATCCTTTTTGGCCATTGAGCCCCAAGTACGATGACCCAGATGTGGAGAGGAAGAGCACCCACAGTTCCCCATCGATACAAGCCCAAGATCTCTGAAGATGGAGTTGCTGTTGCATGCAGAATTGCCTATCATATTGTAGCCAACCTTTCCCTGCAAAACGTGCAGCAGCAATCCCAAGAATGTGCATGTACTTGAGAAATTCTAGAGCCCTCCCCGGATGTGCCCCAACAAATATTGATGAGAACACCAGAAATACATGTATATCTGCCCATGCCATGATGGAAGTGATGGGCTTTTTCTGTGCATCTCATAATAATGATTGCCCTTAGTTATCAAGGCTCAGTGTACAGCTTGCATTGGACGGTAGACTACGATGCTCCAGTAGAAGATCTAACTTAGTGCACTCACTTAAAAAAAAATTTTTTTCTCTTAGTCTGGTTGGAACAGTGGCCCCAAGTTGTATACAGACTGAAATGAAAGGACCCGCATTTATCCCAGGGGGAGACATAGGAGGCCTACCTAAAGAGACCCCAAAGTGGCCAAGGCTGTCTGATGAGGATAGAATACATGGCCACAACCCAGTGGTAGTACTAGGCTCTTATATATGTATATTTGTAATTGAATGAAGAAGGGAAAAAATGATTTTTTTTCATTCCCATAGCTAATCCTCAGCCAAAGTTTAGGACTACTCTCGTTAAGATCGATAGTATTGTGTAGTAGAAAAATTGTACAAAGCTTATGGAAAAACTGCAGCTTTAATCTCATGTCACGTGACCAATGCTTTAAATAGCGCTTACATGTAAATCAGTCACAAATGCAACCAATTTTTTGCAAATGTGATCATATTTTCACCATACAGTCGCATTTGCGACTTAAGATAGCTTAGAAAACTACAATTTTGAGTATGCTTACAAATAAGAAAGCAATGAATATGTACTCAAAATTCATTCCGGACAGGTAGAAATGGAAGCACATGTCACATCATAAATTTGATGCTTACTCGTGCGCGTGTGTACTGTACATAACACGTGTTGTGATCACACGCACGTGTTGGTTGGTTCCCGATCAAAACATACATTGACACCAGGGCCATTTGACAAACCACGGCATGGGCTCCATTTTTGCTGCTTTTTTGCTGTAACGTACAATGTAAATGAAGCCTGAAACGAAGCTAATGGTGGAATCAAAGGGTGTCGCTGTGATTTAGAGTGTCAGAAATAGTGCAATTTATGCAGCAGGGTGTCTTGTGACACGCTGAAACTATGGACATCATAACATCCATGGCTAAATCCCTTGGCAAGAACCCTGATTTCGTGTATTGACCTCATTGGCGCTCATGTATACATGTACGTACATGTACATGCAAGTTGTGTGGTGTACGTGTATGTGCCTTGCCCCGCCGGACAAGTCATGATTCTATGTCATGGATGGACGATGTAAACACAGGGTATTTTTACTACATGTGTGTACGTATGTCATAGGTATTCAGTGCACGTGATTACTAAACTTCATAAAAGTGCTGGCGCCTAGATTTTTCCCCATTAGGAGCCAATGGCTACCAAACAATTTTTTCTGTTTAAAGGGTTGCACTTGACCCCTGATGAAGTAATTTTTACGATTTTTCCCTGGGAGCCTCTGTTCGTGAGGGATTTCAATTGTACTTTGAAGGAAATTTGTCAGATTGACCAGAGTGCCGAAGACAGGCTGTTGAAATACTTATGGGGGAAGATTAAATTTTTTAAAAATCAATTTAAAAATAGGTAATGACGTCATCATGACATCATAAATTTAGCAAAATTCTTTTATCGGGGTCTCTGTTGTCTGTAACTTTGATGATGATCCAACATCTCAAAATTACCCAAATGGTGGCTTGAAAATGTGTACAAAGTCAGTGGGCTGAAATAAATATTGACAAATCAATAGCAAATCACATGATGATGTCATCACGATGTCATGTATTTACAATAATTCTTGTATCAGGATCTTTGTTGGCTGTTACTTTGATAATGATCAAACATCACAAAGGTTTCCAAATAGTGGCTTGAAAACATGCACAAAGTCAATGGGAAATATTTAAATATTTAAAATTCAAAAAGAAATAATGTGATGATGTCACACAAATGTCTTATAGGGCCATCCTTGGATGATTGTCCAAAGGTCTGCCAAGTTTGAAGTCGATCAAAGTTATTAAACTGCCAAAGTCGACTGGTGGAAGAAATTGGGGTGAAAAAGAAAAATAAACAAAAACAAATCAGAAAAGCGCTTAAAAGAAAAAAAATTTGACAGAAACAAAAGCTGTTACGCCGAAACAGCTAATAAATGTGCTTAATCAATTCTTCAATTCTTGTGCTTCAATTCTTTGTTTACTG